CGTTTGTACCTGAAGTGCGACTATTTACAAGCATTTGTCATTTGTGAGGTAGCCTGCCAAGTACTCTAAATATTACAATTCTACGGGTAGGAATGATCACTGCCTTTTTACGGATGAGGAAATTGGGCCCTGAAGGGATTAAGTAGTTTGTTCAAGGTCACCAAGCTAATAAGCAATGGAGCCAGGACTGAGCTTGTGACCGGCTCCAAACTGGGATCACTCCCACGATCCTCTGCTGACAGTGGTCTTCTTAGTCTAGATGAACACATTACTCCTTTGCTTAAAATCTGCAGAGTACCCTCCCAGCTCCCCTCATGGCCCTAGGCCAGTTTTTAATACCTTTATCCACCTATTTGTTATAAATCAACGAATAATTACAGGCCCTAACATTTTCTTTGAAACAATTTTACATACAATCTCTCAAAACTCCTATAGCTTTGGAGGGTGAGCAAGCAGTGCTAAGTATTTCACTGGCTTGTCAAGAGATAGACAAGTGTTCTTTGCGGAGACACAAACCCAGGTCCTAACAGCCTTGTTGGACGTATGTCTTAAATGTCCTTCCTTGTGAGGACCAGCAGATGGCATAATGGTTATGTCATTGGACTCTCACATAGTCGACCATGGTTCGAGTCCTGGACCTGGCCACTTAAAACTCACACCAGATGCATGTACCTATGTGGCCAAAATCCCCAGTAAGAAGGGATTGTGGCATGGCCATTCCCCCTGTGGGATGATTTCTTTCTTTCTCTCTGTCTCTATCTCCAGTGAGCACACATGCTGTATAGCAAAAATCTCTCTTAAAAAAAAAAAATCCTTCCTTGCTCATTCAGCGCTCTGAGCTTGCCTTGTTTCAAGAGTGTCAGGCTCTTTCACACCTCTCTGATTTTTGCAACAGTCATTTCTTCTGCTAGGTGTGCTGTCTTCCCTGCCTGGAAACCCATATAAATCCTTCATAATTCAGCACAAATGGCCCTCTTTCTTGGGGCTCCCTTTACACCCCATTATAGCACTGACCACATTAGATTAGATATATTTGCTTGCCTGATTCTCTTTCCCAGTAGACTGCAACCTTCTCTAAACAGAGATTATAAGCCATGAACATGACTTTTGGAAATAGCTGGGCAGGACCACCAATGAGGATGGAGACCAAGAGGAGTAGGTAAAGAAAGACACGACTTACAGTAAAAGTTATTTCTAGTACTTCCAGGATTTGTGTAGCACTGAACTGATATTTATCAAGAAGTAGGCCTAGTACTGGGGTGGAGATAAATGGTAAAAAGGACAAAAATGGTAGTGTGTCTGTGTGTGTGTGTGTCTGTGTGTGTGTGTGTGTGTGTGTGTGTGTGTGTGTATGTGCGCACGGAGAGAGTGAGAGGAGGGAATTCTATATATACCGATTAGCTATATAGTGCGTGTGTATATATACAGTGCCTATGTATAACATGCTTGTACATATATGTGTACAAATAAGTATATAGTGTGTATATTTATACATAGCATATATACAGTGTGTTTGTATATATAATATCCATATACCTATACTATATATGCATGTACATGTACAAATGGTGCTTCAATACGGCATATTATATATGTATATATAATAGTGTATCGACATATAGTTGGTGTTACAGTATGTGCATATATGACATACATGCAATGTGCACGCATAGCTATCAGGTACCTATGCATATATACATGTGTACATGTGTGTACTAGAATGCAGTGCACTAGACTTACAGCAACCATTAAAAGATGGTAAGAAGCACAATCATAACACACAACATAGATCTTTTTAAATAAGAGCAGAAGCACGTGAGACTTGCCTCTCCACTGATGGGGGAAGAACCAGCTGGTGAACTGGGAAGGAAAGAGTTTAGAGAAGCCTCCCTAAAGCCACACAGGAACCACGTTCTAGAATGAGCCTGGTTAGTGAAATGAAAACCTCGAAAAAAAAGAAGAGAAAAGAAAAGAAAATCAAAGCCAAGTGGGGAAATCACCGGAGCTGATCGTTAGGAGGAGAGAGAGCGGGGAACCCTGAGTGAAAGCCTCAGGAGGAGGTTGGGGTGGGATGACTCAGAGTTGAGGAAGTAGACTCAGACAGTCGGAGACTTCTGTCTCTTTCCAAACGTTTGCCTTGAAAGGATGAGAGGAGCAGGTTGTGATGGGAGCAGGATCAAACATTTGACTTCATGGGTGTTGTGGTGCCTGCCTGTGGTCCTCGCTACAAAAGAGCCTGAGGCAAGAAGATTGTGATATATAACAAGACCTTTTCTAAATTTTTTTGTGCGTGTGTGGGGAACCAGCAGTTGGCGTAATGGCTATGTCGCTGGACTCCCACGTAGTCGACCGCAGTTTGCGTCCCAGACCCGGTGGCTTAAAACTCACGCTGGGCACGTGTGCGTGCCCAAGATCCCAAGAGGAGAATGGAGGAGAAGGGATTGTGGCGTGACCATACCCCCTGGGGGATGATTTCTCACTTTCTGTCTCTCTGTCTCTCTCTGTCTGTCTGGCGAGCGCACGCGCCCTATAGCAAAAAACCTCTCCCCCTAAAAATTTTAATTTTTAAAAAATCGGATTTATGGCTTTATTTGGAACTGTGTAAGACAGGAAAGCTCAAGCATGTTTGTGCACGGAAAGTCACAGTCCCACACCGCAGTCCCGGCATGCATGTCATGAAGCATCAACCATAGCAAACGTGGCTGCAGCAGGACCAGCTCATCAAGCCCTGTCATCTAGGAATCCCGACATTCCTCACAACCCAGTGGGGCAAGTTCTCGGGTTATCCGCAGTTTACAGATGAGAAAGTGGAAGCACAGAGAGGTTACGTAACTTGTCCAAAGTCATTCAGCTAGTAAATTCCAGAACCCAGGTTCCTTCCCCATCTGGATTCGGCATTTATGCCCTTAGCCCAGGTGCCACCTGGGATGCAGAAAACAGAATTTCTAACCTGCCTCCTGCTTCTCCAAGACCTGCTTAGTCTTCCCTGGCTCTCTCCCCTGCCAGGAAGGGGCTGGGAATCCAGTGGCCATGGCCAAGGAGGAGCAGCAGAGAGGAGCCATTGGGGTGTGGCAGGCTTCCTGCCTCTGCGCTACCAGAAGAGAGGCACAGTATGCCCCTGGAGACCTCGCCTTGCAAGAACTGCCTCCAACCCCTACTGTTCTGTTACTTGGAAAAACGATCTAACCAGGTATCAATTTTCCAGTAACAAGGGATAATGAGGATGACAATGTGCCAGCAATGACAAAAGCCAGGTGTAACAATGTGTGAAAGTGCAAGAAAATACAAGTTACCGTTTTCATATAATATTTCTTATTATGAGATTAGGCTCTCAAATTACTTTAAAAATCACTCATCCTCTCCACTCCCTCGTTCCTACCCTCAGAGCATTCAAAACTGCAAAGACATCTGATTTTGAGAAAGTATTTCCAAATCCAAATAGTTCCATATTTTCCACAATTGGTCCCAAGTCTAACATTCTCTTATACGATGAGGCAACCTGACACACTGTCAAAATTCACTGAGGGTGATACGTTGTCATCATTCAAGATTTACAGGGCAGCTTTGGAGTGCCCAGAGCTGCTCACAAATTAGGCTACCCCACAGTTCACATCCGCCCGTTTGTCATTCTCTTGTTTCCCCATTCACCGTGCGGGCACCCGGGTACGAGCACACAACCTCCAGTGGAGCTTTTCGCTCTCGAATCCCACCTCCTCTTTCTGTGCATCTCACTTTTATGAATCAGTGTAAGCGCAGTCCCAGCCGGGTCCTGCTGCAGGCAGAGAAGGTAACTGCAGTCTAAAAGCCAAGGAAACCTCAGGTCAGAGGGAATGTGAGAAAGCTGACTGAGAAGCCAAGCTCCACTCCGCCAGACATTTGGAAAGCCTGGAAGTATTCCCCAGAAGTTTCCCTCGGTCAATTTTGGAGAGACCCGGTCTTTAGAAAAATTCTTCACCTTTCAACTGAAGGCAGTTTTGACCATATATAATAAGCCTAGAAAGACATGCAAAACTGCCATTCTTCATAGTTTTCTGTCTAAATGGCCTTGCTTTTTAACTCCACTTTCTATAAACTACACGCCAAAGATAAAGTTACGGCAGTTAGGCAACAGGTGGGGTGTATGATGGGTAAGGAAAGTGTGGTTGGTAACAGGGACATCTACTGTCTGTCACAAGGACCCTGCGAGAACATCTAGAACACCATTTCCTTTACACATGAGGAACCATGGACCCGGAGCCAGATATCCCTTTATTATTCTTTGGAAAAGGGCTATATGTTCTGCTTGCAATCTTCCTTAAGGGAACAATGTCTAAAAAATGCAGAGTGGCCAGGCAATGTGTTGGAGGTCGTTGCTTTAGCCAAGGATGGCTTCCTGAAAAGGTTACTGAGGATTCCCTTCTCTGTATCCATCAGCCACTCTAACACACACACTCAATTTACCAGTTTAGGAAGCAAGCACTCCTGTGAGTCTGAATCCCTCCAACCCCCGGATTCCAGAGAATCAAATTGTTGCGCAGTGTTAATTCCTCTGTGCTACTTCACAGTGATTCTCTCCTGTGTCTTTTATGCAGAAATCAACTAAAAGCACTCAAAATGACTGTGCTTCTCCCTCTCAAACTCCAGAGCAAATCAGACAAAAAGATCCCTTCTCCTCCCTCTTCTCCTACAGCTTCCCACCAAATGCCCCACCACCAGATCCCTGTCTTTCCACCGTCTGGCCAAGGCTCTGATGGGTCTTTGCCATCCAGTGCCTGCTTCCCTTTTTACTTTTTACCAGTCAAAATACTAGAGAAACAAGAGGCAGTATTTGTTTGGTTCATGATTTTTGTTGTCTTTGTTTTTTAAATACAAATAACATTTCTTTCCATATAAATATACAGTTCTACCAAAAAAAAAAAGAGAGAGAGAGAGAAAAAATACTATACTCTTGGTCTCT